GGGGGGGGGGGGGGGGGGGGGGGGGGGGGGGGGGGGGGGGGGGGGGGGGTAGTGTCAGGACCGTCAGGGGGATGAAGGAGAAAGTACCATTGGAGTAAGTGTTGTCTACAGCTTGTGGCAAGTTGAAACGACCACGCTTGAAAAAACAATAGACGTGCCATATAGGGAGCATTGACCACCATTATATTAATCACTTCCGTTGCGGGTTTCATGAGCGGCATCATTTCTGGCCATCTCCGACACGATTTTGACGGGTGGGTGTAGTTTAGAAACCTTAGCCGAACTGCAGGGCGGGGACAAGCAAGAAGAGCTCAGAAATACCCGTGAAGGGGAATAGCACGTGAGAAGTACAAGAAGCACCATACTCTCCATACCTTTTGGGAAGTGTACACTTTCAGCTGCTTCGACAAGTGGCTCGAACCTCCATGATCACAATGTCACAGGCTTGGTTGATGCAACGAAGAGACGTAATAACGTTGTATGTGCCCGACAAAAAATATCGTTGTAAAACCAAACACCGTATTGATTTGCGACCTCCCCGTGCAACATCCCTACGGCACGCGCCACGGAACGACCCATACAAAGTCTCGACTGACTTGAAAGGAACGTACCAAGCTGTGCTTGTGGCACCATGCCCTTCACCCGAAGCGGGCTATACAGCGGTTTGGGAGGGTCTGCACGGACAGATGCTTTTGGTTCGAACCTTTAAAGCCTTGGGTCCGAACACCGCAGATATGGTGAACGCCGTCCCCCAGACAGCCGAGAAGCTCCGCATGCACGACCTCGCGAGAGGGTTGTCGTTGACCAGCAGGTACATTACCACGTTCAACAGACCCAGCAGCGTGGTATTGTACACCGACAAGCAGATCGATTGCGACTTGTTGGTTGTTCGTTGTTTTCCAGCGAGCCGGGGAAAGCACAACAATCGTCAAGCGCAAGGAATGCATTCGTTTTTTAGGAGAGGCAGAGCGTTGTTCCCCCCCCCCCCGCGCGGTGTAGGACGATGACAACCGTGGTCAGCGTTGGTTGGCAAGATGGAAAATACCAGGGCCAGAAACAGGGGAGGAGTGGAGGGAGGTAAATGGTTAATTAGTTTTGAGGACGGCATGCGCCCCTTTTATCCTATCTGAGCGCAAACCAATCCCACGAACCTTGCAATACCGTTTCAAACCGTGTCCGCATGATTTCTACTATTCAGTTTGAGTCTCACACCAGTTGTCCAACCAGTCCTAATCCTGGTTTTAAGTTGGTGTGGACCGAGAGATAACTCGACGTATGGGGACCGTGCAGGCGGTGGGCTTGTGTGGGTGCTGCATATAAGATGTAAATGGTCATTGTGGGGGTGACGGAAACACGCTACCGTGGTGTAGTTACACAAAATACAGGCTCGCTCGAAGGGACTACAAGACGTCCATCCCTCTCTTATCCTCCGATAGATGCTCTTGCTCTCATACCATTGATTGTTACTTGGTTGGGCGTACTAAACCTCTCGTCAGCGCGCGATGCGAACCCGGCTTTCTCAAGGCATTCAAGTTTTCTCCGATGCCATATGTTCACCCCAAACATTATTTTCGGTCTTTTTCTGCACATCATAGCAAGTCGTGGTAGACGGCGTGTGCGGCCGCCCACCAAAACTACTACTGATTCGACACCGATGATAGAATACGGTATGTTGCACTTCGCAGCACGCGAACCACATTCATTCCCAAGCGAGTAACCACCAACCGACCAGCAGCCAGGCCTCGAGGTCCGATCGGTACAGACGCCAAAGATGTACCCCATCGCCGCATGCGCTAAGCCTACTATGCTTGTTTTAAAATCAACCACGGCGACCGTAATCATCACAAAAGACGCGCAGACAAATTACAGAAAGACAGACCCGGCGAACCACATGAACAATTCGTGGCGGTGTGTTCTTTCTTTGTCTATCGACTCATCATGCTGTGCCGCACCTCGCCCACACCATCGGCGCAGTGCCAGGTTTTCGCAGCCATTACCACCCCGAAGAGGTTCAGTCCCCCCTTGTAGATCCACAAGATTGTGCCGAAATATGCCGCCCCGGGATCACAAAAAGGTATCTCCAACTCTGCAACGCCACGTATTTGCGGTAGAGAAGCGAGAAGAGAGACATATTAAGGACTACGTTCCAAAACAAGCGAACGATAGACGAGCAATTCTTCACGTGTCAAAGGAGGTGTGTGCTGCCGCATACGCATACAGTCAACTGGTCAAAGCTACAGTTCCAGTGCTGGGCGATCTACTCACAAGGTCGGGTGCTTCTCGTCTTTTAGGCCGAGGATGTCCTCTGTGGTGATGTAATCCAAGGATGATAAGGCTGAAATTTACCCCTCCGCGGGTGCGGGTTACCGAACTACGGGGGTGCCTCCGACGGCACGTTGGGGGCTTACGTAGGGTGACAGCGAGCATAATATCAGATGAGACTACTGCCCCACCCCTTGTACCCGCTCACATTTAAGTTATGGTGAAGAGAAAGGAACCAAACCAGTTGTCGTCACTGTTCAAACTGCCGATGAGGAAGGGTGTTCAATCAATAAGGCGCCGTTTACTGGTGTGTCTTCATTGCCGAATACGGAATACATAATTTGTCACCCCTCCCGCCACGAATAGAGGGCGGGATGTATCGATTGTTATCCCCACACGCGACGGCGTACTCGCGGGACGTGCATGACATGGACTTCTTGCTGTTCCTCCGAGAAGATGTAATACGACGGGGAGAAGCAAGGGGGTGAAGTCCGACAACGGATACTACGGAAACTTGGCTGTAAAACCAGCGCAACCCGAAAGAAGCAGACGCCAGGCACCACGGGCGGCGAACGGGCGGCGCACGTCCCGCTCGCGTACACCACGACGGCCACGGGGAAGATGTGGCCTCTGCAAGAAGCGAGACTCTTGGCATATCAGAGTGGTTACCAGTACAACTGCGTGTGCTGTGTACAGCGGGTGGTCATACCTGCATAACCCTGTGTGAAGTAAACCATGGACGCTCGCGGGCCGTCCAGGATCAGCCATAGCGTCAGAAACATGACATCGACAGACACAAGTTTCAGCACCCATACCACCAGGCTCCTACGGGACGAATATCACGATGCAACGGATGATGCGGGATACGTTGGTAGGCGTGTGATACGAAACCAACGGACGCGCGGCTGCCGAAAGGACCTGGTGGCTACTCTCGTAGTGTGGACCTGCTGGTTGTCAAGATGTCGTGTTGGACGCACGTGTTTACTTGAACTTGTTTTCTGCAAGGTATTCCACGAACTAACTCGTTGCTCACGTGCAGCGCGATCAGCGAAAGACGCGAAACGCAAGGCAACCTGGATCGAAATACTACAGTAGACAAAATCATACTGCCGATCTCGACGACCGTGCGGGAAACGAGCGGCCATGTACAGCAGTGCTTTCACCCCGCAAAGTTGGTCGACTTATGATGAAGATGCGAACTTCAAGGAGAAAATCGATGAAGTACACCTCTTCACGTGGATTTTGTGGTGTGGTAGAAATATAGCGGGGATGACGTGAAAAACATTTACACCAGCTCTTAAGTGACGAGAGGCTGGCCAGCATGACAATCTCGACAGACTGAGGGACTTGGAACGTCGTGAGAAAATCAAGGCTAATGAGCCCCCCACGCGTTCGCTTCCGCCGAGAAAGGGTGGAATGTGCGGTAAGCTGTGCCTTGTTCACCCCATGGCGCCCGGTATTCCGAATGTATCTCCACCCTTAGCTCCATTGTTGCAGACCACGTCATTATCATGCAGGCTATACATCTACTCGTAAACAAGTCTATTTCTGACGAGTTGATGTAGTGTACCTGTCAGATATAGACATGCGGGCCAGCGTCTGGTTGTTGAAGAGGCGATGGACTCGGTACGTCTTCATGTACAGGCAGCTGGTGGTATTGTTGCAGGATAGACGAGTGGGCACACATGCACGCAAGCAGGCAGACAACCAGACAGACAAATCGACAAACAGAAACGGCATGGGGGAGTAAACGGGGGGAACAATATCTGTCAACGAGGACGCAGTCATGATGAGTCTCAATTCACGGGTAGAGATGAAATGAGCACTATGACAAAATGAACATACGGTGGCTTACTGCACGAGTACCATCCACTGGAACCGCACAAAGAGACGTACAGAAGGAACACCTGGTGTTGCGTGCGTTCTCACAATTAGATACTCTTCGTTTGGACAGATGGACTATACAACAGCCAGTGGGCCTATCCTACTTGTGGAGGGGATTAATGCCCCCCCCCGCCAGATGATTGAGGCATGGCATCGCCAGGATAAGACGTTAGCTGCTCTGGGGCATAGGAGGTGGGTGGAAAGGGCGGGAAGGAGTATCGTTAGGACAGATAGACTGAGGAAGACATTTTTGAGCCACCTTGGCTAAATAGGAAGGAACGATTGGCCATCAGTGATCGGTCTTGTGGGAACAATGCTCCGTCCTCTCGAGGACGCGTGATCAATGGTCTGACCGCTAAGGCATGCAAAACATAAGAGTACGCCCCCCACCCCCCCCGTCAGGCCAGCACGAGCTACTTCTCGTCCCCCGCCACCCAAACTTTACACAGGGATCGCACCTGCTGGCAAATGTTAATGCCGTGTGAAGCACGCAAGGGCGCAAGCGGCAGACGAGAGTCGAGGGTTCTCCCAGGTAAAGCGGCGCGGTGAGGTGGAGAGCAATACACCCCAGCAGGAACAGTTGGCATACGAACGGCTGCCCCATTTTCACCACCGATGTCTGGGGTCGATCACACGAAAAAGTAACCACGACAGACACAGCGTTCGGACGTAGAATAGTGATTGAGTGCGGGTAGAGCGTTCCAGACTACAGGTTGCAACACCACACAGAGTATTTCTCACACGGCAACGCATCCTCCCATGATTGGTGGTCTTGTTCCGGCATCCTCGGTTGAAATCGCATGGGCAAAGTGGTACTGATTTAGTCTGTCAACGCTCGTCTGCTCCTTTGCCTTGGTCGAGAGGAGCGCGCTGCTTCTTCGTACTCCACGCCACGCGTACCTCTCGATGCTTCACTATCCACACGAGGAAGAAAATGGCGTATATCGCTCCGAAGGCCGAAAACCCCATCATGGCACGCCCTAAGGAAGTCCTCGTGGGGATGAAGCCTGCAGTGGTTCAGCACATATGGCGCAGGCAACAGCGATGAGGGTGTACTGCAGGTCACAGCTAGCCATCACTATTTACCCCCCAATGTCCTCGTTGAAGAGATAACTACATGTGTCAATCGCACCGCCCAAAAGGCCACGACCAGTCTGTAAAATTCACCCCGAAAGGCACAAGTTTCCCACCACCGATCGGACGTATCCAACCTACGAGCTCAATTCTGAGAGATACTAAAGCAGCCAACAAGAACTCTCCAGCAAGAAACCGTTCGCCACCCACCTTGAAAAGAAAACGTCGCATGATCACGAAACAAAGGAAAGAACCATGGGCTGCGCTTCGCCTCCTTTGTACATTGTCCTGAAGTAAAACCCGTTGAACGGCAAGCTCACTCACCGCATGAAACCCTGGCATCGCTTGGCAAAGCCAGGCCTCCCTCACAGATGATCCCATCCTTCCACTTGTGCACGACCGTACGGTGTAGATTTGTCGTGCACTCGCCCACGTCGATTTCGAGGGACTCGATCACGCATTGGCCAGGCGCAAGGATGTACACCTTGCCAAGGGCGAATACGGCGTCCACATGTAGGGGGACAGGGGGCAATCGGCCATATACACTTGGACTACCATACCGTATGCACACATGCTGGGTACATCCGAATCAGGACGTGGCATACTTCGTGGAACTTAGCTACAGGTAGCTCGGGGTTCCGTTGTCCTGTGATGGTCCAACATACCCATACAAGACCATGCACCACCGTGCAACAATATTCGAACCCCTCTACACGTCTACCCAAGAGATCCTGCTGCTGCAAGTCATCTCAAAGTCTTCCTTTTGCATCCCGTGATCCCGGCGTCTTTCATCCTTGTCGTCCCCTTAGTCCGCTATCACCCCCCCCCGATAAACTTCGCACCTCAAACGGACTCCCAGGAATGTTGAGTTTGTCTCTCTGGACGAAAAACAACTTCGCCTCTGACTCATTATGAGCGCTCAGCTCCACCACGTAAGAGCCGTTCCCGACGTCGTTGACCCGCTCCGGAACCTCTTGGGATGAAGTGCTCATCCAGGCCTGGAAGGCGTCGTCTCCGTACCCAACCGTGATGTCGTTGCTGTAGAAATCTCGACATGAGAAAGATACGTTCGCCGAGGAATGTTGCGCCATCGAGGTAGGCGGCTTCAAAGAAACTGTTCACAAAGGATAACAGGTATGCGTGGGGGAGGTCGTACCGTGTGTATGCGTGTGTGTCCGGGCTGCAGTTTGTAGTAGGCATATTCTCCCTCGTCAACCTTCAGCTAGTCAACAAGACGGATATCGTGGTAGATTGCTCGAAGTAACGGAAGTTGCTTCCCTAGGGACGTCTCCATATCATGTCCCGCACACAACGCATTGTACGGAGACAACGAAGAGCAACAAGTACAAGCAGTTGCTTACCGACGGAGCTGGGTGCGTAGGGTTCCCCTGGAATGGATACAATGTCCAAAGTCCCCAGGGTTCCACCCGATTCTAGCAACACCTTCAGCGCGCGGCAGTAGTAGCATTAGACGAAACAGTAGCAGCAGGTGAAGCAGCAGTGAAGACTAGACAGGAAAAAAGGTTGCCACAGCAGTGGTGCACACAGGAATAACATCGAGTGCTTGACAGGGTTCCGCAACTTGTGCCTTCAACACCATTGCTTGAAGGCAGTTGGCGTCAGTTGGGGGCTTACCGTCCCCTTTGTGGATGTTTTGTGAGTACGCAATGTTCGAGGCTGTACCTGTTTAAGACGATCGGTGATCTCATGAAGCAATCACGCCTCCACGCATGGAGACGCTTCGTACTACGTGTTGGACACTCACCACGACTGAGTGTGCCCCGGTGACCGGCAATCTTATCGAAAGGGACGTGTACTTGTTGGTCATATTCTTCATGGACCCCTGAAAGAAAATTGACGCTGGAATATCGACATAGGAAGTCGTCACAGGCATAGAGGAAATCCTGAACACAGGCGGGCCACAGAAGGGATAGAGGAGGGGGCGCGAGGGAGTCAGAGAATTCGCATTTTGTCACACGCTTTGGTAATGCTGCTCTGAGTGCGACCTCTCCCGAACTAGCGAAAATGGCAATGCATAACTTGCATTGGAGGCACCTCCTACGGCCGACCCCATCTCCGACAACCCACGTGTTCCGAATTGAAGCAAATCTTGAAAATATTCCCACGCCGACGATGTATGGTAATGTCCGAATCATGATTGAACTTCATGAGGCGATGTACAACGAAAGGCACGAGAACTCAACATTCCAAATAGATGGGAAATCTGAACGGTGTGTCTCTCGAGGTTGCGTGTTCGAAATTCGCTCACTCCAAGGGGATGCCACCCCCGACATCACAGTCTTCTCCCTGTTCCGGCTCCGCCACCACGATCAAGTCAGATGTGGCATTGACCTGTCACGGCAGCATCGAACCAACAGATTCACATATTGCCAAAAACGTGACGAAAATCTCTTTTAGGGTTAACTACAACTCGACTCCAGACTCCGACATTACAGCGCTCCCACTTGTTACAGTAGTTTTCCCAAGTGCCACCATTTCTGCGTGCATACAACCGCCCGTACTCGAACAAGGGTATTGACCATTCAGGTGGCTAAAAGGCGCTCACGTAGCAGCGTAGCAGTGGCATTCACATGTCGCGTAGGGTTAGATTGCACGGGAACAAGCCGAACGCCAAGTTTACCACGACAAAGGCCTCACCACGAACGACTCGGGCGGAAGTATCTCAATGCCGCAGGTGCGGTAGTGATGCACCATGGTGAAGTCATAGTCCTCGTCGACAGCATACCAGATCGACAAGTTTCCGCTGGAAGCGCTGTAGAACTCGATCGATCCGTACTGGTACTCCCGATTCAACGTGGAAGCTTGGAGCGCTGCCAATTCCGTGTTCGGATCCCGGGAACATAGAAAAGGACGGTCAAGAACTGCCGCCGCCCCGAGGTAGAACCAGCACCCTTCTGAGAACCGTGCGTACACTTCACTCGAACCAAATTCTTCGATCAAGTCGTGGGCGTCCTGTACTGTGAAGTTTGGATCGGTACCGCCGAGAACCCAGCCCCAGTCGCCCGGGTTTGCGTTGGACGAGGCCATATTGAAGTGAATCGTGACGATGGCTCCAATGTTTGTGCTTGAAACCTGGTCGGTAGGGGTAACAACGTTGGCAGGATGTCAAACACGCCCATATTCCTCTCTGTAGCACTGCGGTTGTGGTACACCATAACATGCATGCGTGCATACCACACATACATGGGTGCCGATTTTCCGTCATCCACGACAGGGTGTGTCAGCTCCACCGTCATCCATGAAAAGTGTCAGCTACAGTAATTAGTGTGTCTACTCTACCACGGCCGTGAGGATGCTGAGAGCCTTGATGATTGGATCCCAAAGACACACCTGGAAGAAGTCGTAGTTCGGCTGGTATACTATAAACTCAACGCAGTCAGCGGCGATGCATCTTTCCTCGTCCGAGACCAAGCAGGCAAAATAAACACCAGGGTCTCCCAGCAGCAGCGAGGCGTTCCCCGAGTCCGACGCCGACCTGTTGGCGGCTTCATCGGGGTCCTGCCCGAGAGTCGACGTATACCACCAAGTACTGAAATTTTGCAGCCTTACAGTCGCCCCTTTGAAAACCTCCTCATTGTCGAAAGGATCCACAGGATCAACGACGTACGTGGAGAGGTTGCAGATGTCAGAGCCTGCGCCTAGATCACCCGGCAAAACTGGATACGTTTGGTCACCTGCTTGACTCGATGATGACGAACTTGACGAGGAACTGCAACAAAACGAAGCGCCGTACGGATACGTCGTTCGAAAAACAGCGTGTCAAAAAGGGTGATGATACACTCTGCTTACTGTAATTAATGTGGACTACTCCTCGCTGTAGTCTAGGCACTGAGGATGACAACTGGGCATGGTTACGTGGAATCATTGGAAGGAAACCGATTACCCTAGCAATGCTACAATGAAAAACAGGAGATACCACAGAGACTGGGGTGTTTCGAACTTGCGTTGAATCATTTTCTTGCGCGGGTAGGACCCATGCTTGTAGACTAGCTCACTAATGATTTTGCACAAGGAAGGGAGATTTGAACCCCTTGAGCATTGTATCCTTTGAGGATTTTCCTTGCGCCCGGGATAAATATGTACATATGTAGACTATGGGAATAAAAAGTGCATGAGACTTCGCAAAATATGCCGACGGACCTCTTGTGTACCTTCGGTCAAGAGGGCTGATCACGAATCATTGGTAGGTAATCATGGCAACCCTGGGGAGACGTGTTCGTGGCTTGAAAGTAAGCTTGACGGACTCGGGCATTAAGACGAGGACCACTATACATAGACCACTAGTCAGACTAGTGGTCTATGTAGTGGCCATTGTTGAGAAGTATGATGACCACTAGACTATACACCACCAGTCAGCACCAGTCAGCGCTGACTGGTGGTGTATAGTCTAGTGATCATCGCGCTTCTCAACAATAAGCTGAATGTCCGGGGTTCGTATCCCCCTTCCAGCATTAATTTCTTTACGTCCGACACAGTATATGGAAGAAAAAAGTCTGAGGAAGTAGGCTTCGCAAAATACGCCCATGAACCTCTTTCACCGATAGCGATCTCTGGGAAAGACAGCGCTGATCACAGGGATGGCAACCCCGGGGGGACGTGTTCGCGGCTGCAAAATCAGACCGGACGCGGACATGAACTTTTTTTGTTGAGGGGCACGATGACCACTAGACCACCAGTCAGCGCTGACTACTAAAGTTGTTGTTGTTGTTTCTGTTGTTGTTTTTCACATTATCTATATAGTCCACAAATGGGGAGACCGTGATCGCAACAAAACCGGCACATTCGACGTCGCGGGGAAACAAAACAAAAATAGGGTACAGACCACTCGGAAAAAGAAATTAAAATGATGGAAGAAAAGAACAGCTACCGCACCGACCGGTCGAGGAAAGGGACCTCGGAAACCGATCGAAATACAACAAAACAAAACCAAAGATAAAAAGGACGACGGTGAAGTCTAGTAGTCATCGTGGTTCTCAACAGTCGTCGTACTTGATAACAACAACAACACCAACAACACCCTTAACGTAATGTCCACATGGCCATTGAGACAATATAATACCTACACTTGTAGACCAGAGCAATCAACACCACCTGAGGGATTCGTTCCCAGCCCCGAATCGTAGCACGTCCGTAGCAATCCCATCGAAGAACACAAAGACGCGCCCCGGGAGGGTCCAGGATATGACGGTCAGCGTCACCGCATCCCATGCCTCTACGGACATGTAAGTGCTATTGCGCCGCTGCGTGTTCTCTATCGAGAACGGTATCCCGTCAACCAACACGACGAGCACGGCCAACACAGCAACGAGCATCACCCAACGTTAGAGTGACTAAACCCTGCGTTGTCTTCTGCTGTGCTTCATCTCCACCCTTGGCCCTGAGAGGTCTATCTACCATGACCCCGCGGGCTCGACGACCGCACACAAACGAGCCCAAAGCTTGAAAAAACACTAGAGAATCTCGTGAACCAACATTTGTCGGTTTTCGAAAACGCCTCGCAAGGGATACCTCACGGCCCCCCCGCCCCTGTCCACACGGCTACCCCTATTTGCACGCCGCACTTGCAAACAAGAACGTGCACGCCAGGAACGCCTCCAGAACCACACACTCAGAAACCCATTTTCAAACTCAAGACAGCTGCGTACAACACGCCAACACACCACAGCACAACACCACCGCACCAGGCCGAACAGCACGCGCAAAACAGGACCACAGCAGACAAACCACACAGCAGACATGTCCATCGCGATGGTAGTTGACGATGTGCATTCGAAGAGTTGCAGCGCCGACATGTGGTCGAGCGAACGGCAGCACCAACGGCAGACCGCGGCGACCGCAGCAGGCGAGCAACCGGAGACCGCACCAGGAGAGACCGCACCAGGAGAGGTTGCAGAGGAAACGGTGAGGACGGCAAGCGTTGAAATTGTGTCCTGTAAGATCACCTTGGACGACATGGAGTTAATAAACTGCTGTGTCGCGTTTGGATGACGCCTTCTTCACGAACTAAAATACTGGTAGATACTGCTACTACCGTATGGATACTACGCTGTATGGATGGCTGTATGGATATTATATGATTTCTATGTGTACAAGGTTTTCGGCGGCTGACGCCACCACGCTCAGTGGATCGATTCCAAGATACTTGTCCAGTAAGAGCGTCGTTCACGTAAGAGTGTCGTTGTTGTGATGTTGCGTGTGTGTTTTTTTTTGCCGCAATGGCTACAGACGTTATTGTTCGGGTCCGAGGGAAGCGGATATTTCACCCTGTGGTCGGCGGGGAGACTTACAGATTTGTCACCAAAAGAGATTATCCCTAAACGCGGGTTTCCTTGCCTACGTTTATGGAGAATACACCTACGGGTGTGTGGTTCTGGAGGTCCTGCTAAGATTAACTCTGCGTATTTTCGTTCCTCTGACAAAACCTGTTGGAATGCAATTAACACGGCTAACTCATCCACACGACCCGCCTGCCGTGCTCACCCATCTTGGACCTGTTATTTTCTGCAATGGACCCGTCAGGATGCCGTACTGGAAGTACTGTTGTCCAAAGAGGATGTGCATGCGGAGATATTTGCCTTTACGGGCGGGCAGCCGCAGCCGTACTGATTTGTAGCGATAGTTTCAAAGTGGTGGCGAAAGGTGTTGTCTGGGAAACTACGGGAAACCGCGGTCTCCCATATCGTGGCGTCGGTTCCTCGCGCCATGGAGGCATTGGGCTGCGGTTGGGCGCCGGGCAACGGAGCATGGAAACGTGCCGCAGCTCTGGGGAATATCGAAGTACTGAATCTGTTCTTGGATTGGTCCAATGACGCATGTGACCTGGGCGAGTGGGGTGAGTGGGGCGATGGAGTGTTCGCAGCTGCTGTGGAGGCCGGGCACACTGACGTTCTGAAGTTGTTGATCGCGGCAGGCTGCAATAAAGATCAGATGGGATTGAAGGCCTTAGAAGTCGCCGTAGAGTCAGGTAGTGCAGCCATTCTAGACTGCTGCGACAGCTCTGACCTACGTCGAGGCGAAGATGGGCTCATTATGGACGAAGAGTGGGCGGTCGCCGAGGCTATAGTAACCCCTCCTCTTCAAGTGGCGATGGCCGGCAGAGATTTTGGAATGGTACGGTCTCTTTCGAGATTTTTGCTGGCTGCCGGGGAAGCCGGGGGATGGATGGAAGCTGAAATTAGGCGCCATGCCAAAGATGGCGACCTGGAGATGCTACGATGTCTGGAGGAGATGATCATGTGTGAGGATGGGCGTTTTGAAGGTATGTTCTGGCGCACGTTCTGGATTGCGGCTCTATATGGCCGTTTTCGCACGGTGGCCCAATTGTTGACTTGGTGGTGGACAGACTGAGCTCCTCACCTGCGCGCTGTAACGAGCGGCCAGCAACTTGTCCCGGACGGCGTCCTCTTCATGGTAGCCAGACTCGGACATTTGAAAATGTTGCAGTCGTGCAAAACGCACTGTCCCTTGGTTTCCCGTGACTTCTGCCTGTATTGCGCTTCGCCTAACGGCTGGTCGCGTGTACCCGCCGACTCCGCTGGCGCCGGGCATGTCGATTTAGTGTTGTGGTGCCTCGAAAACGAGTGGAATTACAGTGAGAGTTGGATCGAAGCCGCTGCCAAGGAGGGACGTTCGAATGTCATTGCGGCGTTAGTGGGGAGGGGTTTCGCATGCCAGGTGCAACTTGAACGGGCGGCACCGTGTGATGTGGAGGGGGACGACCTCATGGAACGGTATATTTGTGCTCTTCCACGTTGCGAGTGCCATTAAATCTCCGTACTTGTTGTGCCGGTTGAACGTTTGCACCGTTTGAAAGTGTGGGGGGCGGGGGGGCGGGGGGGTGGTAGGTATGAGTGTATTTGCAGTTCGGAAACCTGTAGCGTTGTGATGTTGCGTTGTGGCCCCTCTGGACGGTGCCCCTGGCCGTGCGTATTTTAGTTTCTTTTGTCTTTATTCGTGTCTTGTGATACGTTTTTTTGTGCCGGGCTTGTGACCACGGGCTAGATTTTGGCGATGGGCTAATGTGAGGGCCCTCACCAACAACAAACAACTAAAACAGAATGAACGATTTTCTGGGCATCGGGCAAGGCTCACAGCTGCTGTGGCCTCCTTGAGGCAGTCTACGTAGAGAAATCGGCGGTCCTGAGGGGTGGGGCCGGTGTCCTTCAACTGCACGAGAATCGACGAGATGACTTCCTGCTGTGATTCGGGCACCCCATTGCGGCTCTCTCCATGTTCGCTTGCGACGTGCGGTCGACGTGCGATAGAAAATGAACAATACTGTCACAAATCTTGTCGCTTAATTATGTTCTTTCGAGCGGAATGATTCCACACCCCCGGTATCACCGATAGAAAAACACCCCATCACAGCTGCAAAAAAAACAGTAGAACAACCCAAAAATGCTTTCTGGTCACCCGTCACTGGGATATACAGCGGCGGTTGGAATCATAACACACGGGGTCGCCCCCCCTATCCCCGACTGCACGACGTCATTCAACGTAGATGTTTGTCCACGACCACAACTGACCAGAACCCGTTGTAAGCTCGACAAGGTTCAAGTGTGGTTGGCCTGCGCGCGCCTCCTATTCTTTGCCCCGCCGCATTCCAAGCTCGACTTCTCTTTCGTACCTTGACTTCTAACAGCTGGTTGGCGCACAGCTTGTGGGTTGCCCAGTACAGCCCCCTGCCCCGACGAAATCATCGCCGCGGCGTTCATGCTATTTTCGAAAGTCTGCACGATAGCACGCATAGTATCAGGGGGAACAAGCTGCACCCCAGAGCTCACGGCAGGTGGTCTTCTTCAACATCTCCACAAAAAGGAGCCGGCGGTCCTGACTACTTTGCCCTGTCTGCGCCACCCTCTGCAGCCTGGTCTCTATGGTGGCATTCTCCGGGATAGCTTGCCAAGTGTCACCCACCATTGCCGTGGGAGGGCGTACCTGGTCGTCTTTGGACGCGTCGCTGTTGACTAGCGCTACCATCCACTGCTTGCACTCTGGTGGCCAAGCCTCCAGTTCCCTCAGGCCCTGCTCTGTTAGCCAATGCCTGTTGAGTATGCCTACGTGAAATTTGAACTTCGGGCTCAAACGCATGGCCTGCCAAAAGTGCCGGCAACAAAGACCGAGTTCTTGAAGTGTGCGGCACGAGCAGATGTGACTGCCATCCTGCATGCTGCAAACTATGTACCGCATGACCCGGCCGTAACGGCTTTCCATGACTGCGGCGACCGTCTCCACGCCCACAATCAACTCGCCCAGGAACTCTAGTTTCGACGGTGCTTCGAAACGCTCGTCCCCCTCAAGCACGGCACCACCACCACCACAAAAAATCGCGGCGGCCTCCATCTCCATGGTCATGTACCGAAACGGCCACATCCCAAGTCCGAAACGGATCAGCGCCATGAACTTGTCCCCGAACCACACGTCGTCAACACCCGCCATCGCCACAGCAGGAAGGGCGAGCCGAGCGGTGCAAAGGAGTGCCCGATCTTCCTGCTTCTCGATCGCTCCTTCGAAGAATTCGAAGACGCCTTGCAGAGAAGTCATCGCGCCGCAGACTTTCTTCATGACCCTGTTGATACCTGGCGCGGTTACCAGGTGTGCGGGTCATGGTACGGTGGGTTTTACTGCATTGCGTTAAATGAAGCTACATTGCTGGACGATCGTACAATTTACGACAGGCGTAGATGGACGGCTACCGCACACTACATAGGCCAGTGGAAAAGGAGTTGAGGAGTTGGGTCGTTTCCACGCGTGGTGATCCCACGCGTCGGCGCGGTTGTCCTACGAGCACGTGACAGTGTTGTTGGGGTGCAACAACAAACAACAACGCGTGGCCGACCCCGCCAAGCAAAAACGCACGAAGCACAAACACGCTCAATACACAAGGGCCCACCTTCGACTCGGCTGGACGTGAACGACGAAACACTGAACGTCAGCACGGAGAAAGCCGCCGCCCAGCGGTGACGATCCTTGTACAAATGCCGCAAGTAGTTCTCCGCCTTCGCGAAGTTAATGCAGAGCTCCTCGAACGATTCCTCGAAGCCGGTCTCCGACAGCCGGCCGCCCATCTTCTGGAAGTCGTTGGTGAAAGCCTGTGAGTTTAGTGGGTGGCGGTGACGACAGCGTCGATGGCGGAAGCGGCGGAGGCTTTTTTTGAGACAACTGTGTATAATTGAAGTTGGGAGTGGGGGGCTATTGGGTCCAAAGCAGTCGCCTGCAAAGCACTTGCGTTTTGTCACAAATTGGGCGTAGTCGGGTGACAGTACTACACACTATCTCGCGAGATGGCCACGGAGGCGGTCGTAGCCACATGGTGCGCCGGTTGGTGTGGTTTGTTGCTTGCAGACCGTTCAAAGGAGGGTTACAGTCACCGAGGCTGGATGGTTGGACTTGTGTGACAACCGACACTCCACTTCATGGTAAAATAATCGCCAGGGTGTCGCAACACCAGGCGCAGAGCGACATGACACGGTTTGTTACTCGAACGACACACACATCCCCGTTACTCTCAGTCTCATCAGCACAAACGCAATATCGTACTCACAGCAAAATCTTTGCCCAAGATGCTGCCGAGCTTTTCCTTGACGTTCTTCCACAGGTGCCAAAGGCACCTCAGCTTCTTCGCCCCCTTGAACACCTTGTCCGCTGCTAGAGTACAGGCACCGTCGGCTTCTTGGATGAACACGTCCGGCCCCTCCCCTCCCCGCGTTTCCATCCATGCCTCCATCATCCACTCGAACGTCTCCGCTTGGGTGTCTGACCATTCCAAATTCTCTGCCGGCCATCGCCACTTGAAGAGGAGGGGTTGCTATAGCCTCGGCGACCGCCCACTCTTCGTCCATAATGAGCCCATCTTCGCCTCGACGTAGGTCAGAGCTGTCGCAGCAGTCTAGAATGGCTGCACTACCTGACTCTACGGCGACTTCTAAGGCCTTCAATCCCATCTGATCTTTATTGCAGCCTGCCGCGATCAACAACTTCAGAATGTCAGTGTGCCCGGCCTCCACAGCAGCTGCGAACACTCCATCGCCCCACTCACCCCACTCGCCCAGGTCACATGCGTCATTGGACCAATCCAAGAACAGATTCAGTACTTCGATATTCCCCAGAGCTGCGGCACGTTTCCATGCTCCGTTGCCCGGCGCCCAACCGCAGCCCAATGCCTCCATGGCGCGAGGAACCGACGCCACGATATGGGAGACCGCGGTTTCCCGTAGTTTCCCAGACAACACCTTTCGCCACCACTTTGAAACTATCGCTACAAATCAGTACGGCTGCGGCTGCCCGCCCGTAAAGGCAAATATCTCCGCATGCACATCCTCTTTGGACAACAGTACTTCCAGTACGGCATCCTGACGGGTCCATTGCAGAAAATAACAGGTCCAAGATGGGTGAGCACGGCAGGCGGGTCGTGTGGATGAGTTAGCCGTGTTTATTGCACATCCAACAGGTTTTGTCAGAGGAACGAAAATACGCAGAGTTAATCTTAGCAGGACCTCCAGAACCACACACCCGTAGGTGTATTCTCCATAAACGTAGGCAAGGAAACCCGCGTTTAGGGATAATCTCTTTTGGTGACAAATCTGTAAGTCTCCCCGCCGACCACAGGGTGAAATATCCGCTTCCCTCGGACCCGAACAATAACGTCTGTAGCCATTGCGGCAAAAAAAAACACACACGCAACATCACAACAACGACACTCTTACGTGAACGACGCTCTTACTGGACAAGTATCTTGGAATCGATCCACTGAGCGTGGTGGCGTCAGCCGCCGAAAACCTTGTACACATAGAAATCATATAATATCCATACAGCCATCCATACAGCGTAGTATCCATACGGTAGTAGCAGTATCTACCAGTATTTTAGTTCGTGAAGAAGGCGTCATCCAAACGCGACACAGCAGTTTATTAACTCCATGTCGTCCAAGGTGATCTTACAGGACACAATTTCAACGCTTGCCGTCCTCACCGTTTCCTCTGCAACCTCTCCTGGTGCGGTCTCTCCTGGTGCGGTCTCTCCTGGTGCGGTCTCTCCTGGTGCGGTCTCTCCTGGTGCGGTCTCCCGTTGCTCGCCTGCTGCGGGCGCCGCGGTCTGCCGTTGGTGCTGCCGTTCGCTCGACCACATGTCGGCGCTGCTACTCTCCGAATGCACATCGTCAACTACCATCGCGATGGACATGTCTGCTGTGTGGTTTGTCTGCTGTGGTCCTGTTTTGCGCGTGCTGTTCGGCCTGGTGCGGTGGTGTTGTGCTGTGGTGTGTTGGCGTGTTGTACGCAGCTGTCTTGAGTTTGAAAATGGGTTTCTGAGTGTGTGGTTCTGGAGGCGTTCTTGGCGTGCACGTTCTTGTTTGCAAGTGCGGCGTGCAAATAGGGGTAGCCCTGTCCACACTGATATATAGTAATCACGTGTGCAGAGGCGGAGCTCCCACTTGCACCGTTTTGCATCCTGTCACACACAAACAAGCACTTCGGGCGACCTGCTCTCTGCTCTACATCGACGCAGGAGAGGATGGGGTGCGGTACTTCTCAATTCTCTGTACCCCCAGATGGTTCAGATTCTCCGGAGATGGGAAAGTGAGCATCCTCCAAAGGCAGGCAGTGAACAACAATCAATCTGGTAGACCTGTCGCTGCTGTGCGTTGTTGAACCCTCTGTTGTTGATGAGGGCGGTTCTTCGTTTGATAAATTTAAAACTGCCGATCCCCGCCCCCTCCCTCTCGCCTTGTCGGTACCGACGGGTTCAACGCGCGGCCTATCCACGCCTATCCGACGCTCGCGTTTGGTTGCTAGCATGAAAACCGAACTCTCCGCTCGTAGCTCGAACGGTGTGTACTGCTGCAGCACACGGTGGCGACAAGCAGTTCTCCGTCCTCCACCATTGGCTATCCTACCTTATGTGACTACACCCACGAATGAGCTCCGTTCCCAGCTCCGATGACTCTTTAATGCGACATTATCGAACCGAATTGAGCTGTGGATACCTGCGTCGACGAGGGCTCGACTGGACGAGTAGACTGTCGAAAAGGAACATTATTACGACGGGGATAGCAGCACAGCAGCAGTAGCGTCCCCTACACAATGGTACCCGCAGAGACCGGGGTGCTGCTGCGCCGCGGTCTTCCTTTTTTCGCAAGGTTCCTGATCTCGGGTAGGGGCTGCGGCTCTGCTGCCCCGTGTTGACAGTAGCGCTGTCCTACCGGGCTGCAGCAGCCGTGGCGTCGGGTGGTTGGTCGGAGTTCGCGATGGCCAGCAGCTCATCCCAGACAACAAGTGGGAGAAGTGGACCCGTCTCGGGATGCCATTGGTGTGCCATGTGCTGCCAAAACTGAGCAACTTCCTCTGGGTCCATGATGATGGTAGTGATTGGGTTACTTCTGCTGCTGCTGTTGTGCCTAAAGGTAGAGAGGTAGGAGCGGCAAGGAGACTATCGTCCCCGGCCACTTTTCGCTCACAATAGCAAGGGTTTTCGGGACTTCAACTTTGATCACAGCTCCGATCTTTCCCCCTCTATCTGTAGTATAGAAATTGATAATTTTTTTCGATTTTATTCTATTTGACCCGATATTCAGTTCACGCCCAGCTCGTACAGCAGTNGGCCACTTTTCGCTCACAATAGCAAGGGTTTTCGGGACTACAACTCTGATCACAGCTCCGATCTTCCCCCTCTATCTGTAGTATAGAAATTGATAATTTGGCACGATTTTATTCTATTTGACCCGATATTCAGTTCACGCCCAGCTCGTACAGCAGTCACCGATGAGAGCCCTGATGTGTGTTGGTCTGCTGTTACATACCAAAGATTTGTGTGAGCAAGGGAGTGGCGTGTGGATGCGACCATGTTTTTTGTTTTGCTTTGTTTTGTTTTTTTCTCCCATCATTGAACTCTGTCGTCTGCCCCTCTGGTCCCTATCCTCCACTTCTACTAGCTAGACGACCCAACTGGGGTCACATAGGAGGGGGGGGTTGGACCCCCTCCTGCGGTTCATGCCTGAGGTATTTTTATCGCGAGAAGGGTACAGCAATCCCTTCCCTCGCGACTTACGAAGTCGATTATGGTTTGCTAACAAACGAGCTTTGCAGCGCGTCGCTTTCATCCTAGACCAGGATTTATTTAGTTAGAAAATTACTTTCTCTGCCGGGACTCGAACCCATGACCTGGCCCTGAGCAGGCTGCGAGGCTACCCACTAGACCACCGGGGCGACCGACATGTGTACTCGAGTGCATGTGGGAGATACCGGTAGGGTGTATAGAGAACGGGAGACGGTGGTTGAAATATGTGTGTTCCACAGCCTTGGCCTTGATGATGTCAGCGGTCTCTTCGCCCAGTTTAGAAAAAAAAGACCCTCGGAAGATCCAGGGAAAACCCAGTCAGTGTATATAGTAACGAACTCTAGAACAGCAGTGTAGTAACCACTGCAGGCAGCTCCATTTCATTGTTTGCGACCTTGGGCAGCGGCCAGCTTGGCACAACAGCAAGGAGGGGGTCGATCTTGTTTCGTTGCTGTACACCCCTGGTGCTCACGACTTGGCTGAACGCAAAGGTTGACGGTTGGGATACTATTGCTCGGAACATTCCTTGGGTAGGTGCAGCTCGTGCACAGCAACCCATCTTTTCACCGTACAACAACCTACGTAACGCTTATCGTGCACAGCAACCTAGCCCTTACCCTCTCATGCGCCGCGGCTTAGCCTAAATGGTACAGCAGTAACCTATCGTTTCACCTGTCCCGCCTCGGCTTGATCTGTAACCTGCATAGCCTGTCACTGTTCAACAACTTATTAGGAAACATAAATACACAGAAAGACATTGTGTGTATAGCGCTAACCATGCACAGCAACCTAGGTAATACCCCTCTTGCGCCGCGGCTTGCCGCGGCATGCCGCGGCCAAGGCTTACTGTGTACAGTGACCTAGCGCTTTACCAGTGTATGGCTTTGGGTCGGGTTACTTGTGTTGGAGCGGTGAAAGAAATGGTACAGCGGGCCGGGTTCGAACCAGTAACCAGTAGTTTCGAAGAGGACGCCATCTAAATAGCCATCAGGGTAGTATATATTCTCCTCTCCATCCCCACCCGCCCCTTGGCGGTGCCCCGGGCTTTATATTAGAACTCCCATTGCGTCCCTACAGGCCGGGGTGATGAATTTCACAGTTTAAGCTCTGTGTGTAGTATTTGTTTTGCTGTGGTATTTCGTGAGTGTGTGGTCACCGCACCAACGTGGTGTGTGTCACATTCACCGAGCACGACGCCCATCAACCAAATCGTCAGGACAAATAGCAAGGTAGAATACCACGTCTCCTCGTTGTTGCGGGCAGGCCTCATCGCCTCATCTCCACGCTAAACAGAGTTGCGAGCTATGTCCAGCAAAGGAAGAAAGTACGAAAAGTCGCCACTTCCCTCATCCAGAGGGAGACTCCAAGCCAACGCCAAAAAGACACCCACGAAACAACAGACCCCCACATAAAACATAAAAATCACGTTACTTTGCCAAAGTCATTTTTTTTTACCAACAGGGAGCAAATTATAAGTAGATACTACTTTAACATCGAAAATAGAACCAGCAAAACAGACTTACTGAAGGTTACATTGGCACGAGCGCGACGTCTGTATCAGCCATGCGTGGTACTCTCAACTTGACTTATAAATAGACTAGTTTTGACATACGTGTCGTTGGGTTCAACGACGTCATGGCCTTGCTTGGTGCAGACTCACGTACGTGCGTGTGTTGTCCATCACCACAACTCGTACAGAAAGAGTTCCTACGACGAAAGAAGAAAAAGCAGGGACAAATGAGACAGAAACAAATACACAAGCAGGTTGGGACTCGTACCGCATTCCTCGTCCAACCGCCCCATTCGTGCTAAACCCTGGTCTTGTTCGGTGTCACTGGAAAGTCTAGCCGCTGTAGGCATTAACGGTAAATCACTGTGCTATAGGCGGTCATTGGGATTTTTGTCATCGCAAAATTACCGCGGAGTGATTAACCAGGACAGCCAACCCGGGTCTTAACCGCCTAAACCGGCGAAAACTCTTCCTTACAACCGCCAATCAAGGGCCAGGGTCCTCGCGGTCTTGACACATGCGGTGTACCAGCAGGTGCGCTAACATCCTCGTGGCGTGCTTAAGGTGGTGCATGCCATCCTGGATGTCGACAGCCCACTTCTTGGTCAAGGTCGTCCAGTTCACCTGAAGACAATCGTCGGCGTTAGACGGGCAAGTAGGGTCAGCCCGGCGAGCGGTGTGCATATGGGTTCTGGGCGGACACACCGACACCAGCAGCTCAAGCAGGAAGAGAGCACAGGAGAGCGGGGGTCAAGGGGTACGAATCGGGATATGGAAGCCGGAACAGGGTTAACCACTGCTCAAGCGCTTGAAGGAGCATCTACGAACTCGATTGGGGGGGCAAATGAATGAGGAGGAGATGCGTGCATGGGCCGGAGGTGACGACGCTTCTGCTGCGGCATGACAAGCATCTTGATCAAGATATCCAACCTTGACCCCTCCTTCACACCTCGAAGGTAAAAAAACAACTGTCGTAGTTCATCCACTGCACTCGGAGCCGGGCACTCGCCTCAATCCATCCCCTGGGTTCCAGCACAGCCCGAAGGCCGTCGTTGAACTGCACAGCACGTTCCAGGACGCAGTGTGGCTCCCTCTCGCTCACCAGGAAGGGGGAAGACATCCAGAACAGAAACCTTCGTTGGGCCGCAGACCGAGCATTTGATCGGATCCAAGGAGCGAGCGGAACAACGTCGCAACAAGTGTCGTGAAACGTGGTGGTACATACGTTTTGTTGCGACAAGGCGATTTAATAGTTCTGGGCATTCTTATTTTTCTTTGGGTACGGGTGGTGTTGTTGGTGTTGTTTGTTGTTGTTTCTCACATTAGCTCTAAAAAAGAAAGATTGGGAGCCCGTGGTCTCACAACCCGGCATACACGACCCCACGAAGAAACAGAAAAAAAATAGGGTACAAAAACCACTCGGAAGAGAAACAAAATGATAGAAAGAAAGACCAGCTACCGCACCAAACGAGAAAGAGCGTCGAGGAGACCGATCAAAATAAAATAAAAGGAGAACGGGGAACGCTTCCCACACCCGCCGGTGTGTGCCCTATTGGATAGCGTAGTTGGCCTGTGACCACGGAAAATATCCACGGCAGCCGTACCGGCGCCGAAGTGAGGAGAAACCGAGAGACCGGAACGGGACCGGAACGGGTTGTGATGTGGAAACAACACCGAAAACAACAGATTTCATCGTTTTCAGAGTTTATGCGGATGGATGCAAGACGACTTGTTTTCTGTTGCAACCATCCTCATTTTCTGGAGGACGGGTTCATCTGGATCAACACACCAGACCAGCACTTATCATGCACTCTTAACACACCGAGAATACATCGCAACACCACTCGAGAGTAGTACATATTATGCCTTTCACCATTAAGAAGCCGGCGACTTAAAAGTATGGGTACTGGTGTTATCACGGTACGGATTGACGGGATGTCGTAAGCTTCGATGGGCTGAGATGTAGACGACGACGGAGTCAGTGTTGATCGACGGGACCCTGCGATGTTCGCATCATACGTTGCAAATAAAAGGTGTCCTCACCTAGGGCGGAATTCTCCATTCTCCGTCATTTTGTCCAATGTCCTGCCCAGATTCTCGAAAAATGGGGTGATCTCGCTGCCATAGCCATGGCGCCACAGCTTGTGCATCATGGCCCAGTTGGCCAGAACGACGTCCGGTCGAAACTGTTTTTTTGTCGTAGCATTTTCCATCATTTCTCCCACGTTGTAGGCGATTGGGTAGTTGAAAAAAACGCGGCTTCATGACGCAACACGGGGGAAATTGGGTGTATTATATCTATGGGTTCTACCTAAGTGCAAAAGGAGAACGGCGGAAAACCTCTCGTACCCGAGTAGAAATGGAAAACACGTGGCCATTTCCGGTATCGACTGCCGAACATGTCCATATGTTCTTGCACTAACCAAATCAACCATCTCCATCCGTGGGTGCATTAACACACAAGAGACAAGACAACATCAAATGCTAAAGCCCTCGTATCAAAGGAAGCATTCCGCATACCAGCCCCACCCAAACTCCTCGCCTCAACCAACACACCAACACGTGTCGTCGACCAATGACCACCTCTCGAATCAACTGTTGAGAATGTCAACATATGAACAAATTTATATTGATTGACCGTTCTTGAGCCAAAAAGGCAGTCATAGCGCTGCTTCCCACCGATAGAATGTAGTCTCTGATGGCGTCGTCCTTGGAGTCGTAGAGGGCGGGTAAACCGCAGTAGCGGTACTTGATAGGCAAGCCACCACCGGAAGTGTTGGCATCATCCATATAGAACCCGGTTGGACAGTCTGCGTAACACGTTGTTGAAGGTGTTGCAACGACACCGTCGTTGCGGTTTGGAGATCGTACTGCTGTGGTACAAAAATAGTGGAGAAAAATAGGAGCCACGCAAATGGTACCAGGTTCGACACGGATTGCTACGACCTGCGGAATCCCCTGTATACTTGAATTGGTTCACCCCGTTGGTTTTCTCTCTTGACAACAAAATGAGAATCTGGAGGGACTGATACCATCGACCCGTGGTCTACGTGTTTCTGTAGTTTTGACTACCGTCCTGAACCGGCAAAGGTTTGAGCATGTTTTGTCTGCAGTTCGACACTGCCAGTGCTGCAGCAAGCGCGGTATCTTGTCAACACTATCGGAAAGAAACTGCTCAACCGTTGTCGGGTTAAAAACATAGGTCCGTCGTGCAGATGGATTGTCGTCTGTGTGCCCCTCGGAATAGGAGCTCTTCAGTAGCGGAGGCTACGCCGCACGCGCTGTGGACGAAACAAAAGAAACGAAATAACAAAAAATAACAAAACCAGAACAACACACAGAGAGAGGAGGCAGGAAAACAAGCGACCATCCCAGCCGTCCAACTGCACGTAACCTATGCACACGAAGCCGTTTCTCAAATTCTACCGTGGTTATTATTTGCCGCAAGCCATTTCGCCTCCCCGTACGTGCGCTCTCGGCATCGATACACGGCGAGGGCGATAACCCCCTGCTTCAGAGCACGAGTTTTCATTCAATCCAGTATTTCTTTGGAGTGATCTGTCAACCAAAGATCACATCCCGTATTGTATGAAGGAGGCGTCCTGTCTGCCTCGTGAACCCATCGAAATATATATATTTTTTTGTTTCGCATGCCCTTCCTCCGACCCAGGTCTTACAAACACCCAGAAACGCTAAAACTCTTGCCCCTCCGTGGAAAGAGACCGTCCACGGCACAAAAACGACAATAGAAGACGAACATTACAAAACACAATCCGAGCACACGTAGAACATCTCGTTTGCCGCAGTCAGAACTTGCTTTCGCCTCCCTCACTCACCGGCCTGTTGCCCTCGAGCCCGCTCCTTTTGGTTGACTGCTCTCTTTGCGTTCACATCGACGTTTCTCGGTAGCCACAGCTCGGCTCTTGGCTGCCTGCTTGTTTGGACTATGCTAGAGGAAATTTTCAACAGGGAGCGGAGACGGGACGGAGTTTTGTCACTATGATATTGCTTTGTGTTCATGCTTTGTGCGAAAGAGGGAATCATCCTCGATAAACGTCGGGGTTATTGTACCTTTATGCAGGTGGTCTCCACAACAATCCCCCCTTTTTCGAGACTGCTTGTTTGCTAGGCAAGAGAAGTCTTCTCGGGGTGACCAGAACCCGACTGGCTGGCGGCGGGGCGATGCACTTCCTTACAATCCTCTGTGCGTGATTACACAGGTTCGATACGTCCGCTACGTCATGTCAAGTTCCGACTTCGATTAGCCAGTGAGTCCTTGTTGGCCCACCCACCGTTTGTTCTTTTTGTTCGTCATCCATATCTTCGGAAGAAAATTTAGGTGAGCGGTGGGCCGTATTTCTTGCTACCAAAAGCAGACACCCATTGTGAAAAGAGGGAATCGTCCTCGACAGACGTTGGGGAGATTGCACCTTTACGAAGGTGGTCTCCACATTGGTCGTCTTCTGCTTCCATTGACACCCCACGCGTCGCACAACTCTTGATCCCCCGTTTCAGGCGAAAACGAAAAAGTCAACGAAATTCGCCGCTTTCACGCGTCGTCATGTGTTGTCCCCTTAGGTTTTAAGTACTCTGTGAGCACAAATCCCTATTCCTAGTGCTTCTTTCTCCAACAGGGAAACTCCTCATGCTTGATTCCTTCGATAGTATAGTCATATGCCGAGCCCTCTTGATTTCATACCGTCCTGCGACGGTGAGTGGTTTCAACGTAGCACCACCATAAGCTCACTCCCTCGAATTACCCTATCGTATACTCCGCGGCATGCGTTCGAAACGCGGTGCGTCGTCGAGAAAACAACGTAAAATCCTTCGGGCCACGACCCTCTGGTAATTGATATTGGTATTGATGTACTACCATGAAGAGAGACAACCCATTGCCGTAGAGTACAAAGGAACAGGCAGCAACTAAAATTGTTCAAAATATTTAGTGCTTGTCTTCGTATGACACACCACAAGCACCCTTGTAGCGTCGAAAATAAGAAGCCTGAATCGCAAAGGAATGATCGGCTGTGCGGCCCCCATGTCGGAGCTCTTTAACCAGGGGAGACAAGACCGTATGGTAGCTGAGGGAGCTAAAGCTGCAAGCGACATAAACGAATAACAGAGCAAAGAAAACAAACAAAAACGACCCTGCATCAAACATTGTTGGTCCCATGAGTGGGGCAAGACGAAAGGATGCATACAGAGAGAACTACCCAACTGAGGACATACGCAACCCTCGCCTGTAGAAGACATGCATAGGTGGTAGTATGGTATTATGCACACGCTACTGGTCGGGGTATGGTGTTGTTCACGAGCTACCGGCGGCAGGTAGAAGTCCTCTTGCGTGAGATTGGCAAGAGGGAAGTTTAAGTCTCGGTAGAGAAAGAGAAGGTGTGTGTTGCCGACAAGAAAAGGCCCGGAAACGACTTTCCGCTAGCCCGTCTCAGCTGGTAACTTTTGGAAGAATCGAACCCACAGCAGGCGTTTCTTGGTATCAAAACCATCAACAATACACTCCGCATGTTCCTGCGTTTCGCGTGTGCACTTGTTGCGTCATTTCTACCATCTGTCATCCCAACCAACCGTAGCAGTAAGTAATTGGGACCGCACCTATCCCCGTAGTCAAGAAATCTGGTGATGTTCAAGGCCTCGAAGCAAGTGTGGCGCGCTTCCACATTTAACAGAGAGTAGCGACAGTCGTAAGGCTTCCACACGTAGCCTCCTGTAATCGCTTGCTGGTAGCCGTCCACCTTGCCACCCGACGTGGGAAGGTTGTAAGGCTTGAAGAAGCACTCCTCGGGCTGGGGGAAACGAAAGAGAAAGCAAAAAAACGTTGCAAAAATGTACGTAAGATAAGATGTGTGGAGAAAATCCCATGCAAGAAAGCCTACGCGCCCTCGGTGACGGGTAAAAGGTGACCTACTGCAGATACCACGACCGTGGGACCCATGTAACACGTTGTCTACGAAAGAGCGTAAACAGGTCATCAAGAACTCATATATATACCTACACAGGTGGGCGCGTCCGAAGGACTACAACAACACAACATGTGCGGGAAGGGGACTCACGACAAATAAATGCTGGGTGCCACCTTTCCCTTTCTTCCATGTCCAATTACATCGCATAAATGATGCCCATAAATGTGCCACTACCATTCATGGATGATCATGCCGTTAGTCCTGGAAGAGTGCCGAAGATACCCTGACGATGCCGAGGTGGAGAGAGAGATCTAACAGGGGCGGGGGGGAAACACCGATCAATCACCAGGAGTCAGTCGTCCCAAGACACAATTTCTGTACCAGTAATACCCCGACGGCATTGAATAAACTCTGTGTGGTACCAAACGACAACGAATACAGAGAAAAACAGCCCGTGGGCTACCTGGCCGATATAAGGGGCAAACAAGCTAGCAAATGATAGCACACTCACCTTGGTGACACCGAAGATGTCTCTGCGATATTCCGGCCAAACAGGGTCCCCATTAACACCCTCTGCTCGCATGTCACCGCATTCTACATCCTGTAGACCCACCCAACGGCCGGGTTCGGGGAGGACGTTGGTGGACCTGAAGACCAAAACAAGGGGTTAGGGTATCATCGGTGATGTAGGCTGTATCCGGTAAACAAATAAGGAGAGGATGAAAGGCTTGGAATAGGCAAAACAGCACCATTAGTGGAATATATCACAGAGGGACGGGGTGTGAGGATTCAATCAACTTCTGGTCGTGGTGTCGTCAAACTCTGTTGTGATTTTAGGGTTGCGTGCTTCTGTGCCCGCTAGATTCGATGGCCACCGGCAAGAGAGGACACCGGGGCGGGGGTCCCTTCAGCGCTACTTTGTATCATGCCAAATGTGTCTCAACAACGCCACCGTCGCCGCCATGATCACACCCTCCTTTTCATGGAAAAAGGCTGGGAGACAGACTGCCCCCCCAGAGCTAGACTCATTCTTGTCTCTGACCTGTAGACATATTAGAACATCTTGCTAAAGCCCTACTTCAGGAATCAACGGGGTGTCCCCCGTACTATGCTGCTGCGAGGCTACTGCCGGATCTTCTGTCGGTGGACACAGATATGTTCTGTCTGTGGTCACAACCTACCCTTCGGCGCATGCATACCTGCACAGCGGTAGCGCGCCTTCCTCGTCTGCGATTGGTACTGGCGCCGCCGCCTTCACCGTCAGTTTCTTGCCGCTGCCCAGGACCCTCGCGTTGTCCGGTGTGCACCAACTGCAATTTCGACAAACGTGCGCTTCATGGACCATTCCATCACCGAACCACTCATTAATCAGCCACGTTCGAGTTCTTGAAAAAAATGAAACATGCGGTGGATCGGGCCAGTGGTGTGTGTGCGCACTCCCCCCGGAACACCCCATTCACCCCCGTGCTTAACTGATGTGACCGTGCAACTTGCACCCTTCGACAACGACTACCGCAACTACACACCAATATGAACACGCGAACGTCGTGTATGGTACCTTTTTGCTATGGACATGGAGTGCGCGAGGTACATCATACTCTCTTCGTCTCTCGGTATGCCGCTGGTAATGGCGCGGTTCATTGCCTTGTCTTCCACGGGCGGGCCGCTGACAGACGAGTACAGCACACACCTGACAAAATCGACACGCGCACATCAAACACATCAACAACAAGACAGGTACGATAGAGAGTGTTCTTTGCTTGTTTCTGTTATGGTGCATGGAACGATTCCTGCGCCCCTTGGAGGAGGCCGCCATTCTACAACCACACCCGCAACGCGAATGATGCCAATACTGTATGCTTCCATCGTCGAAACGCAATCTTCGTACACCGCAACGAGGAAGCAAAGGCGAGAGGCCCGGAAACTCGCACGAAGAAAAAAACCGTTTTTGCCGACTCGAAAAAGTGTTACATTTGCGGCGCGTGTGTGCGTGTGTGCGAACTGACAAGGAGCACTATGACCGCCAGTTAGTCAGCGCTGACAAATAGTCTAGTGGTCATCGTGCTTCCCAACAAAAACTATAATGCCCGAGTCCGTCAAGCTTGATTTCAAGCCACGAACACGTCCCCCCAGGGTTGCCATCTTTGTGATCAGCGCTGTCTTGCCCGATCCATGATCGGTATACTATATACAACAAGAGATTCATCGGCATATTTGGAAGTCCAAGACTTTTCCCATACATACAGGGCGCAAATAGAATCCTCGAAGGATAACATGGAGATTCGAACCCCGGACATCAGCTTTTGTTAGAAGCACGATGGCCACTAGACTACTGTGGCCTATCCAGTAGCCATCGTGCTGTTCATATATATAGCTCCTTAACACGTACCATACGTGGGCTGCTGTGTGGCGAGCCTTACTTTTTTGTCCCGTCGATAGAGGCGATATCAGGCTTGACGGTGTTCGACCAGCCGACACAACCTTCCAAGCGGGTGCACAGGGTGCAGCATGCCTCCGCAACCCCGAAGAACATCACATTCCTCCTGCTTACCACGAAAGAAACAACGAGCCAATTCCCATGGTCGAGGGAAACGTGTTGGTGCCACGAAAATGGTACTCAAAAAAAAAAAAAAATCGGGACAACATGGATGGGAGAAGACTCCGGGCGGGTCAAACTGACCACTTGTGGGTGTCTCGTCGTCCACGCAAATGTCCACAGTTTTTCAAAATCCTCCTCTTAAATACATCCACCGCGATATTACTATATTGGTCGCAGACACTGTCACGCACTGCTAGCTGCAACACATTGTCTTGCGCACTCTCATGGCCGACACTCATAGCATTCTGCACCAAGGCTCTTAAAGTATTCATATATTCTGAAAATGGTGTTCCTGCATCCACTTCCAAGTTCTGCAAAGCAAACACCACATGTTGCGGCGTCGCCATGCTAAGCGTCCGGGTTAGCACCCTCACCAAAAAGTTGAGCGCTTCTCTCCCTGCCATCCCATTATCCAACTGTTGCCTGGTTTGGCTGAAGGACGAGGTGATCTTCGCCTTTAGATCTAACCCCTGCGCGTTAGGAAGGCGCGAAGACACGGAATTCAATACATGTTTTTCAAGTGCGATGTCCCATCCTCGCACCCAATCTGACGATTTCGAATTATCTCCTGCCCCCAACCTCAATTCTTCCACGTTTTTAACCAGAGTGGATGACAAGGAAACAGTTTCAGCAACACTCATGCGCTGGCCAGCTAGAAGCGGCAACCTCATCAGATTAGCTGTGGAATACGTGGCATATTTTTGTCTGATTGCCGTCACTTGTTCCTTTGATAGTCTTTCGTCATCAGAACTTTCTTCTTTTGCCTCCGTTGAATTCTCTAGCTCCACTGCGCTGTTGGGTACAGAGGATGGTTCTGTCACACTCTGCTGCACAGTTTGAGGCGCGTCTATCACCGCTGGGGTGACCGCTGCTGTCACTGGGGCGTCTACTGCCCTCGGAGACTCCACCCTTGTGAAAGTGACCACAGGAGGCAGTTTTGTTGCTTCCACCATAGGAGGTTGTTCCCTACCAGAGTTTATTTCTCTCGCCTCCATGTACCTATGGTTTGCTGGTTTTGCCGCATACATCGGAATGCCATATTCATAGCCATAGCTGTCGACATACCTGCCATTTTGCCAGTGCGGCGGCGGCTGTCCTTGGGGTGTGTGGAATGGTCCTTGAGGGTACATCATTCCTTGGGGCGGACCTCCCTGGTATCCACCTTGGTATCCCTGGACCGGGTACTCCCCCGACCCACCTCCACCAAATCCACCTCCCAATCCACCTCCCATTCCACCATCCATTCCTCCTTGTCCCATCCATCCTTCATTCCTTTCCCTGTATCCTCCTTTCTGAAAGTGTCCTTGCCCCCTTCCTTTGCCCCTCGGAGAGAACCTTCCCCTTCCCCTTCCTCCTCTTCCGCCTCCTCCCCTTCCACCCCCTCTGCCACCCCTGCTCCTGCTGCTACTAAAGCTTTGGCTAGATGACACCGAGCCAGGGGAACTAGCACCAAAGATCGTCCGAGTATCTTCTGAATTAACTTCGAGAGTGCCCGACCCCCCAATAATTCTCCTTGTGGGTCTCTGCTCCACCTCTTCTTCCTTTACTTCGACAGAATTTTCCTCAGAGTCTTCCTGTTCGATTCCCATGTCTGCCATGACTTGGGCAGTTACCGACCGCGTGTCTAAACCAGGCGAGCTCGCGACGATCTCGGCCACTCTTTTCATCAGTTCAGCCTCCTTCACGCTCGGTTTCTTCGGAATTTGGTACTCCTTCCTCTCTTTCTTTTTCAGAGTCTGCTTTTTCTCAACCTTCCTTTGGTCGGCTGCTTCATCCCTCTGTTTTAATGAGGATGGCGCCAGTGGCTTGAGAGGTGGGGACTCCCCCGATTGTGCCCCGAGCTTGTTTTTCATCTCAAGTGCATCCTCTTTTATCTTCCTGAGGCCTCTTACTACTCTCTCTTGGTCCCTCACCGCCTGCTCTGTTTCAACACATCTGGCCTCTTTACCTTGCCAGGTATCGTCCATCGTCTGCCTGGTAGCTGTGTACGCTTTGAGGTGATCCGTCTTATTGTCGTGAGCTTTGTACTTGTCTTCACGCATTTTTTCTGCTACCGTTTTGGCCACCTGGTACACCATTCGGGCTTTATCTAATTTTTCCTTAGCCTCTTCCTCCTCCTTTTCGGCTGACTGAACTCGGCCTACCGCGATTTTTTCCTCCTCCGCAAGAAATTCATGCCTTTCCTCGAATTCGGCCGCAATCCTGTCTTTCTCCTTCTCATATACCTCCCTAGCCGCGCGCGCTAGCCTAGCGTCTTCCTGAACCTGGTGCAACCGGTTACTCGATTCCAAGAACCTAGCCTGCGTCTCTGCTGCCGTGCGTGCCGCCTTTTGATATTCAGTCAAAGGGACCTGCTGGGGCGGGTGCGAGAAATGTTCTTGCGCCCGTGATTTTCTCGGCTTTTGGCGCGCGACCGTGACCCAAGGGGTCGAAGACTCTGACTGTGTGGGCGACTGCAAGGCTTCAAACCGATTAGACGACCACAAGGGTGGCCATTCCTTGTCAAGGCCTCCTACCCTCCTTTCCCCTTGAGTTTCCATTGGAGATACTACCTCTTCCTCCTCAAACCCACTGCTGTTGTTGTCTTGTGGTTCAAGGGCGAGGCGCAAATCCGCTTTTCTTTTCTTTCTCTCCTCCTCTTTTTGTTTCCTTTCTTCTTCTATCCTTTTTCTTTCTTTCGCTTCTGCCACCTCCTGTTCCTGCATGTCCATGGCCAACCCCTCATCATCGAGTTCTTGTTGCAACTGCTCTGAAGTCTTTCTATGGTAAAGGTACTCCATGTTTTCGTCAGGTCTCGGGGCAGCACGTGCTCCTTTTTGCATCTCAAACCGTTCCCCTCTGGTGGGCACCCCAACAAATCGTTGTTTTTCTTCGAATGACAAACTTGCCAAAAAAGACTGCATCCGTCACATGAAATTTTCCTCCTCCCGAGGCTGAGTGACAGGCTCAGGTCCCTTGCCCTTTCTCACCTCCTAAGAACCATCAGAGACCTCCTCCATCTCTCCGTCATACTTGACCACTTGCACGACAGACGACACCTTCCCTTCCTTGACCTTGGCCTTTGCTTTGCCTTTGTTGGCTGAAGCTGCCACCGGAGCTACGTTGGTATACGGAGGAATCGACGGAGCGGAAATCGTCGGATTATTTTCAGACCCAGACATCTGCTGTATCATATCTTTTGGGTCCGCCCCCTTAATGCTAAACTTCCGGTCCATCTCATGGATATCCTCCTCCCTACTCGCCTGGGGTGGGTCACTGCCCATGTTTCCTCCTTTTCCCATTCCGTCTCCTTGTTCAACCTTTCCTCCTTTGTGCCCTTCTGTCTTTCCTTCTTTGTGCCCATCTTGTATTCCTCCTTTTTGCCCTCCTTCCTGTTTTTCGTTGTATCTTTCTTCGGACACGTCGATCGAACCCTCCTCCGATTCCACCCCCCACGCGTCCCCTCGGGAGCGTGTGAGCGTACCCTTCCCCCCATCCCCTCTGCTCACAGCAGTTGTGCTCGCATCCATCCTCCTCTTTTCCCTGCCCTCTACACTACGCCGCGTCATATCGCGCGTTGTCCTCCTCAAAGTCATTCCATGACCCTTCGGTGAGTCCCTCTTCCCACCCTCTTCCTCCTTGTCTTTCTCACCTTTTTGCCTCGGTGTATTGGTCATCGCAACCACACCACACCACAGCGCAAGACGACCAGTACAAGCCCCTCCTTCGGTGCCAGTATCGGGGGATCGGGGTGCGCTACCCACCGCGTACGTATTTGTGTTGAATGCCGAGGTTCTTGTCCTGGTAATGTTTTAAGTCCAGTAGAGCTGCGATCAAAGTGTCGTGTTATTAGAAGTTCTGACCATATCGGGACAACATGGGAGAAGACTCCGGGCGGGTCAGACTGACCACTTGTGGGTGTCTCTTCGTCCACGCACATGTCCACAGTTTTTCAAAATCCTACTCTTAACGCAACTCTGCTGACAGTCCATACTTGCATTCCGAGAATCTAAGATTCTATCCAATCCTATCAGAAGTCCTGTCGAATCTCTCAAACTTATTTCCCGATGAATATACAAATCCGCCTCACAACTTCCCGATAGTTCAGTATCCTTTCAAACATGTCCCGCTCTTTTCCACCTGCTCTCTTTCCAAGTAGTACGCTTGGCTGCACTCAGTTTACACCAGCCCTGTCCCATACCACACTATTAACCGTAGTTACCCGGNGGTTGGGACAGCTCGGGCAAAATATTACTTGTTGTGCGCAAGTTTTAGTTTGCAATTTGGTGCCGAGATGGTGAAATGGGCTCGAGTCTGCCGAGTATTTAGGGCGCGCAGACAGACAGACAGACACCAGACACCAGACGGCCATGGCGAAATTTTCACGCCCCTGTGCATGACTAGAGTTGGAGGTGGAATAGTTTTTTGTGGTGGTTGCACAAAAGTAC